TACTAATTAATTACTATTAATAAGGTTAATAGTAATTCTTAAGGTTAGCAGATTCTTTCTGATATGTAAGACCAATAAATATTTATCTGAAATAGTCATGCCAGAATAGTGCATTCATTCAGTCGACAAAAATGGCCTATGATTTTGTTTTGCTTTTTTTAAGGCAAAGAACATGCCTTAGATAGCAGGGCAAATTAACGCATCTAGCAGATCTCTTTGGAGCCATTAGTTTCCCTTTCCTTCAAAGCCCTGTGGTTATTGTTAGTAAAATTCTAGTGAGCAGATCTACAGGAACCTGTAGCTCTTTGTATGTTTCTGTAACATTGCTTTACTGTATCCTATGTTGCTGTTATTTAATAGACCATTCAACACCAGCCAGCCAGTCTCCTCATTCCTCTAACCCAAGCAGTCTGCCCAGCTCTCCTCCAACTCACAACCATAATTCTGTTCCATTCTCCAATTTTGGACCCATTGGGACTCCAGATAACAGGGATAGGAGGACTGCAGATCGGTGGAAAACTGATAAGCCAGGTGAGATCTACATTTCATTGCCAAGCAAAATTGAAAGAAATTTACTCTGTCCTTCCCTGGGGTCTGGCAATTGGCAGTGATAGAATACCTTCTTGAATTTTTCTTATCTCTTTTCATCCCTTAGCCATGGGTGGGTTTGGCATTGATTATCTCTCAGCGACGTCATCCTCTGAGAGCAATTGGCATCAGGCCAGCACTTCAAGTGGCCCCTGGACAGGCCATGGCCCCTCCATGGAGGATTCCTCTGCTGTTCTCATGGAAAGCCTAAAGGTGAGTCAATTTCAGGAACAAGAACCACAAGATTATTACAGCAAAGATGTCTCTGCTTTCATTCATAAACAGGCTTCCTTCTCAGGCGCTCAGAGTTGACTGATGCATAGTACATATATAGCAAAGTCCTAGAAACAGGGTCTGCCCCAGAAGATTCTTGAGTGATAATTTTTAATTTCTGAATTCAGTAGTGGTAAAGCAGTATCTTCGGAGGAACAGAAACAAAGGTTTTAGTTTCATTCTAAGGTTAAGAAAATTCTGATTCATCTTGGAATGTTTGATTTAAGCTTTTTCTGACAAAATAAGACTATCTAATTTTAGAAATGTTTTATTTGCCTAAAACCTTTCTAGTAAATGCCCTTTGTGGTACCACATACAGCTGAGTTTCAGTAAAAAGACCTGACATAAAATGTGATTTCACTTCTGGTTTAAAATTATCTTAATGGAAACTAACCAGCTTTGAGAGTCATAATGACTTTTTCTAATAGCTGGATTTTAGGGGGCAGTGGGGTTGGGCTTTGGGGCTGTATGTATGGCTTTATATTTGACTGGGATTGAAAAGCAAATCCCTTTCAAACAACTGGGCCTTTGACCTCTGCTGACAAGATCTGGGCTGTTTTTCAGTCTATCTGGTCCAGTTCCATGATGCATCCTGGACCTTCCGCTCTGGAGCAGCTGTTAATGCAGCAGAAGCAGAAACAGCAACGGGGACAAGGCACCATGAACCCTCCACACTGAGGCCAAAGTGGCAACCTGGGAATGAAGGCTCCATAAACCATGGCATGTTGGGTTTGCAGGACTGGCCCACACAGTCCCCTGCAGGTGGCAGCCCTCTTTTCTGTTTCTCGCTGTCAAGAGGGTGTAAGTAATCCACCAGCCCGCTGAGTGTGCACGAAATGTTCGCAGTGCAACAAAAAGAAAAATCCATCAGGAACTCTCCGTCCCCCCGGGGCCTTCCGGAGGGAGAGAGAGAAGAACTGCTGTTTATCTCACTCAGTTACTTGGTATCACCGCCTCTCACCTTCTCCATTGTGCATGTCCCCGGCCACATGGGAAGTGAAAGCTGAGAAGGGAAGGCAGATGGGAGAAGCCAATGGGAACTTCTCAGTCCTTTTTTCCTCTTTGGGGAATAAAAATAGGAATCCATTAATGATTGCTTTGCTGACTGAGAATGTAGTTGAAATTATTCCTAAACATCTTTTATTGTTATTACTCTCAGTAGTAAAATATCACACTGAATTCTTCCATACACAGGTGTGCTTCTAGTCAGTGTGTAGCAAGGAAAGCCCCGTTCACTGCTCCTGTGAGAGGCTGGTGGTGACAGGATGGGGAACCGACCTCTTCAGCCAGTGGAAGTGTTCCATAAGGGAGAGTTCAAGGCCTCTGAGAAGGTTCTGGTAGGCCCTCCTCTGGCCTGGAGACTCCAGCAGGAAATGCCCTCCACTCTGTAGGTGCTCGAGCCCCAATCAAGGATGCAGTGTGGATGGTGGTGCTGGGCTGGACTAGCAGGTGACTGCTGGAGGATTTCAAATTATGTTTTTGATTCCTGACATTTTGCAGTCGCATAGCAAGCAGTCTCACAGAAGGCAGGCTAGTCCATTCACAGCCTGGCACATTCTAATAGGTAGAAGCTTTCAGTGTGGTTCTTTTTTGTTCGGTTGGTTTTTGTGCCCCCATTCTACTTCCCACCCTCCTGCCCCGTCTCCATCCTTTCTTTACCTGATGCTGTATGCTAGTAATTGTTTTTATTCCTAATGTGTGTGACATCACATCTTCCCAAGAAGCAACAGCATGGGGTCCAGCAGTTGGGGCCCAAAAGACAGTCTGAAGAGGAAGGAAGAGGCAGTATCTGCATAGCCCACAGAGGGCCCAGGCCCCTGCCAAGCTGCAGTCTCCCAGCCTCTACTTTCAGAGTGAAATTCAAGGCAACATGGACATGTGCACATGACGCACAGAAGAAAACGACGTCGTCCATTTTGGATAAGGCGAAAGAAAGGAAAATAAACTCTTTATTTGATATTTATTAGGAGGAAAGAGGACTGAAAATGTTCTTGGGTAGAAACAGAAGGACAGCATTTCTGTTAGTCATTTCCTGGAAGAGTAATATTTTAAGGGGAAATTATGGAAACAATCTAAATGTTCAATTGCTGTGCTAGTGGTAGGGTTTATTTTCTGGGAGGTGTCTCCTTTGTGTGTCTGTGAGTATGTTTGTGTACACACACATGCCCATCTGCTGTCCCAAAGGGGAGGGGTTGTGTGTGTGAGTGTATGGAGTTAGTGTGGAACTTAAGAGCTGGAACACAGCTGTAGAGCAAAGCACATCCAGGAGCCCCGGTTGTCACTGGAGTCTGGGCAACCCCAGCAAAGAAAAGGGGTGAGATAATGCTCATTGCTCTTCAGAGAGAGTGGTTAGAGCCCCCTCCCCCCAGTATGCTTACATTATTGCTCTTTTAGTTTGACATGGTGTTTGGGTTTTGTTTATAGTTTTTTTGAAAGGTCTGAAAAGGTGAAGCCCCCCACCCAATGGCAATATGAAACCTTTTGTGCTTCTCTTCAGCCTCTTCCCTGTGTCCACGTTTCTCTCCTTGTCCCAAGCCTTTTTCCTACCACCTTTACCCAGTTTGTGTGTTTGAGCTCTGCATTCAGGCAGCTGCAACATTCCAGTGTTTGAACTGTCACTCATTCTTGCGCCCTAGACAAGCTAACCAGGTTTACCATCTCACTCCCAGTAATACCCAGTTCCCATCTAAAGCCCCATTCTGCATGAGAATTTGGTGTCTGGAATGTTTTCTGACTCTCGGGGCGAGATTCCTCGCCTCATCATCCTCACTGTGGAGTAATGAGGAGGGGGAGGAGAATCTTTATCAGAAACTGGTTTTGTGTAGTAAACTTTCTTTTGTGGTTTTGTGTTCTGTTTTGTTTTGTTTTCTGGGTTTTATTTTTTGTTTTTGTCTGTCTGTGCAAGACCTGCAGCTGCTGAAAATCAGCTTTGCCTTTAATTAAACCATGTTCTCTCCAACCAGATCTGTGTATCGATTATTTCTTTCCTATCCTAAAAGATAAGTATTGAAGAAAATCCAACTTAAAAGACAAGAATTTCAGCTACTCACACATGCAAGGAAAGGCACAGATGGTCAGAACTTGAATATTTTTCAGAGTTATTTTTGCTTTTAGTAGCATTCCAGACCAATGAATTACGGACATTATAATTAATTATAATAGAAAGTGAGTAGAAAGAATTATGATTGTCAGAATTATTCTATTTAATAAAAGAATGACTTAAGGAGTTAACAACCCATCATTTTTATTCCTGTTGTAGCTGTGACTGAGGCAGTCTTTTCCTTGAGTTATGTCCAGAGGTTCCCATGGTAGCTTGCTGGGTCTTCAGCTGTGTGCTGGAAGCCAGTGCAGTAGCTAGCCATAATGCCTGTGCGCTCACCCTGGGCTGGCCTTTCACCTGGGTGTTGATTCGGTCAGCAGTTCACTTCCTTATTCTGCTTTTCACAAGCACCTACACACTTGAAAAATTGTTGGCAAAACAATACATACACGAAGAAGCGGGTAGAGAGAGGAATTAAGGCCAGGCCTTAAGGTCTACTAGTTATACAATCCTTCACTCAAGTTGATCCTGAAAAATTGGACAATGGGGTTAACCAAATCCGATGCATTCTGTTACGCATATTAATATATACAGTCATTCACCATATAACAATGTTTTGGTCAGCAGCAGACTGCATGTATAATAATGCTCCCATAGATTACATTTCTACTGACCTTCTCTGTTTAGATACACAGATACTTACCATTGTGGTATAGTTGCCTACAGTATTCAGCACAGTTACACACCGTACAGGTTTGTAGCCTAGGAGCAGTAGGCTATAGCATCTGGTGTGAGTGCACTCTAGATAGATGTTTGCACAACGCATTTCTCAGAACATGTCTCCATTGTGAAGCAATGCATAACTATTGCCAGGTGTCAGCTAACAAGATACTACTAACCAACTGGTTTCATGAACACTGTTGCTTTTCATCACTTAAATGTCGGTGACACATATTCACTATTGAGTTCGTAACACGTTCCTCTCTGAGAAGTACAAGGTATGTAATGCCAGTATTTTAGTTCTCTGTGGAATTGAGTATTGTATTCCCTGAGAACCTAACTCAGTCCAGGTTTTGTTTAAGCAACAAGAGTTAATGGGAAAAGAAAACAAGTTTATTTGTATATGCCTTATGAATAACCTGTAACGGTATTTCCAGCCTTCAGAGTCAATTACAGTAATGGTTCAGAAACGAATATTTATACTTGGTCCTTGAGCTTAGACTTAGGTGTCTTGATTTTTGAAGACAGGGTTTTTTTAATTGAGGTATGACACAGGAAAGTGCACCAACCAGATATACAGCTTGATGAGTTTTAACAGTGAACACGGCTGAGCAGCCAGCACTCAGAGCAAAAAACCGGATCAGCACCTAGAAGACCCTCTCATGCCCTTTCCAGACACTTCCATCCACTTTTCGTCTCCCCTAACGCCTCCATTCACCTGTCCCCATCCCCTCACCCCTGTGCCCCAAGAAATCATCCTGGGTACTCACGTCATTGCCAAGTAGGTTAAATTTTAACAGGGAATAATTAATGCTTCCAAACTGTAATGTCTCAGTACAGTGTACAGCAGCAGGTGCTAAATTTTTACAAGTAATAGGGCTTCATTTTCAGCTTTGTAGTTTGTGAAACATCCTAGACTTCTCTCGGAGTGCTTTCCAAATCTGTAGTTGCACATTCTTCAACAAAAACTTTGGGGAAAATGCCAACCTTCCCTTTGCACTCCCCTTCCAGCCATTCTTCATTCACTGATAAAAGGAAAAGTACACATCGATTTCTAAAACCAGTGTAGGAAGATTAACCTGTCTGGGTGTTCCACACAGAATATTTTATCGGTCACCCTTCCCCACCCCTAATTGTGATCAACAGGAAAAAGACAGTAATTCAAAGTGGTTTCAGAGTGAACACAGGGGTTAACCATCTTACTGATTTTGTCTTAAATATGATGACGGAGCAAAATGCAGAAGGATGAATTACGTTTTTCAGCAAGTTACCAGATGGAGAAGTAAGGTCAAAGAAACTGCACAATGAATCCTTAGATAGAATTTCCATCCTCCCCACTACCCCCAACCCTCAACAGGGTCTCACTGTCGCCCAGCTGGAGTGCAGTGGCACAATCTGGGCTTATTGCAACCTTCGCCTCCTGGGCTCAAGTGATCCTCCCACCTCAGCCTCCCAAGTAACTGCGACTACAGGCCTGTGCCACCACGCTTGGCTAATTTTTGTATTTATTAGAGACAGATCTCCCCACATTCCACAGGCTGCTCTCAAACTCCTGGGCTCAAGTGATCCGCCCACCTCAGCCTCCCAGAGGTGAGCCACAGTTCCTGGCCCAATTGTTTAAGAAAGGAGAGAATTTTACCTGAGCTTTGTTGGAAATCTTCGTTTTGACTACAGAAAAGGGACATGCCATTGGTTAACCATATTGAAAGGGAAAGTTTGTTAGTAAGCTTTCTTCTTTCCAGGGAACTCCACTAAACAGCTGAGTTGGAGCCAATGATGGGTTAGTACATGTTTGTAAAATATAAAGATTTTAATAGCTCCTATTCGGAGCCTTTAATATAGTACAGGCATTGTACTTAGAAAGTACATTCAGACTTCATAATAACTTGTAGATATTATCCATATTTTACTAAGGAAAAGGAGACCCAGAGAAGTGAATAGCTTGTTCAAAGCCATTCTGCCAGTAAAAATCAGATAACTTAGGTATAATCTCCAAAGCCCACCCACCAGATCACACAGCCAGTTCAAAGTTTGTCATTGTCCATCTAGATCAGACATTGGGGCACTGGTGCCTGGATCCTGCCCCCAGAAATTCTGCTTTAATGTGTGGTGTGACTGGGCAGCAGTTTGTTCACAAGTTCTCTCAGGCAATTCTAAATACAAATCACTGTCGAGTCTTTCTACTTACAGGGTAGGTTGTGGACTGGAAGCATATTAGAAATGAAAAATCCCAGACCCCAACCCAAACCAGAGTCGGGATCCACTTAGGAAGATCCCCAGGTGATTCACGTGCACATTAAAGTTTGAGAAAACTTTGTAGATGAAACCGGCTCATAACTATCGAAAGCAGTTGAACTCCCCTCCTACCCTGACTGCATGCTAAATCCTGCTTTCAATTGAAGTGCTACAACATGGGTACTTCCTCAACTTAGACTTGTACAGATGGGTCATAGTAGTAAGTGCCCTGCTTCTCTCCAGATCTACCCAAAAGGTGGTTTTAGGTGTTCACTCGTTTTATTCCTGCCCCCTCTCCCAAACGATGGACATTTGAGCTGGTTGGTTGGTTTAGGAGACTAGAAAGTGGCACTGGGAGGTGTTCATTCCCAGTTCTTCCCCTGAGTCACCATTCTCTCTTGTTGGAACACTCTGCTTCTCTCTATATATATTTTTTGAAACAGTCCCTGTCACCTAGGCTGGGGTACATGGCACAATCTCAGCTCACTGCAACCTCCGCCTCCCCGATTCAAGTGATTCTCCTGCCTCAGTCTCTCAAGTAGCTGGGACTACACCACCATGCCCAGCTAATATTTTTAGTAGAGATGGGGTTTCACTATGTTGGCCAGGCTGGTCTTGAACTCCTGACCCCAGGTGATCCACCCACCTTGGCCTCCCAAAGTGTTGGGATTACCTATGTAAGCCACCACGCCGGACCTATACTACTCATATTTTTAAGTAATTGCTACACACTTGTATACTCTCTCTACCCCCGTTAACTTTTTTTATTTTTATTTATTTATTTTTGCCACTGAGTTTCACTCTGTCACCCAGGCTGGAGTGCAGTGGCGTCATCTCAGCTCACTGCAACCTCCACCTGGGTTCAAGCAATTCTCCTGCCTCCGCCTCCTGAGTAGCTAGGATTACAGGCATGTACCACCATACCCAGCTAACTTTTGTATTTTTAGTAGAGACGGGTTTTCACCATATTGGCCAGGCTGGTCTTGAACTCCTGGGCCTCAAGTGATCTACCCACCTTGCCTAAGCCTCCCAAAGTGCTAGGACTACAGGTGTGAGCCACCTCACCCAGCCTTCTCCCATTTACTTTAAAATCTCCCACTCTCTTTTTCTATTGGATTTTCTGTTATAATTGATAGTAGTGTTTCACTGCTTTGCACTGGTAGTGCAGACAGACTCAGCGTATGAGCAGGGCTTTTATGATGGGACTTGTTTGTGTCCAGGTAGAGAATTAGGCTGGCAAACCATGAGCTGGAATAGTGTTTCTCTGAATGTAGGCAGTAGACCACCATCAACTGGAAACTTGGTAGAAACGCAAGTTGGTAGGCCCCGTGCCCAGACCTGAATCAGAATCTCTGGAGGCTGGGCCCAGGAATTGATTTAACAAACTCTCCAAGGGATTCTTAGAACTTTCCACTTTTAAGAGGTGGGTCTTGCTATATTGCCCAGTCAACATCCTTGAACTCCTGGCCTCAAGTGATCCTCCTACCTCAGCCTCCCTAGTAGCTAGAATTACAGACAAACTGTTTCCATTTTTAGTCTGTTCATTCCAAACAGAATCAAGAAAGTCTCCAGAGACACAGGGTAGTTCTGAATAGCTGGTTTTCAAGGCAAAATTTACCTACTTCTCTCTTTGAAAAGTACATTAATTCAAAGAACTATGGTTTGCAGAATGTCATATGGCTTGACGCAAAGGCAGAATGATTCCAGCCAATGTGTTACCATTGGGAATGAGAATCCATGCTTTCCAAAGCATACTCATTCCTTAATAACTGACATGTTCCCACCGACCCGGTGCGGTGGCTCATGCCTGTAATCCCAGCACTTTGGGAGGCTGAGGCAGGTGGATCACTTGAGGCCAGGAGTTCGAGACCGGTCTGGTCAACATGGCAAAACCCCATCTCTACTGAAAATACAAAAGTTAGCTAGGCATGATGGCAGGTACCTGTAATCCCAACAACTCAGGAGGCTGAGGCAGGAGAATCGCTTGAACCTGGGAGCCAGAGGTTGCAGTGAGCCAGATTGCACCACTCCATTCCAGCATGGGTGACAGAGAGAGACTGTGTGGTTTTTTGTTTTGTGTTTTGAGACAATCTCAGCTACTTGTTGCTTTCCTGGCTACTAGAGCAAGACACAGGGAACGTCTGAGCACTCAGCTTTGCTCTCTCCAGCTAAATGCTAGAAAGGAGGTTGAAAACACGGGCCAAAGTTTTGTTTGTAGGTTATTGATGTTTTCTTCTCTCTGCCCTTGACCTTGTTTCTGCTAACATGTAAATTTGTTTCAATAATCTTGGAGTAGCACTTACCCTTTGATAGCACCAGGATTATATCCCCTTCCTGAAACTCCAGGTCCTCTGGTTGGGTAGCTTCATAACTGAAGAGTGCCACCACTTGGCTGCCTTCCTTAAGCTGAGGTTCTGTTGTATGGTTATTAGCATCAGCTTTTTCATTTTCCTTAGGTTCATCTGGAAAGCCTTGGTCACCCTGAAATAATAAAGGGCCTGTTAATTTCCCAATTTCCTGCCCGGCCCATTTTCTTTCTCCTAGTGAGAACCTGCCTTGCTGCCTCCAAGGCTAATGCAGAGTGATAAAGAACATTCCAGTGACTCCTGAGCCTGGATTAAGTTGCAAAAACATTGTTGGGAGTTTTAAGAGGGTTGTCTATGTGTAGCCACCAAATAGGTTGAAGCTCCTATCAAAGGAAAATTTTAATTAAAAGTTGAAGTGAAGTAGTTCACATTTACAGCAGAACTCATTCTAGGAAGAATCTTTTTAAGAAGATGCAAAGACAGCTGGAAAACCTAAAGTGACCTTTCGGATTTCCAAGAGACCCCTTACACTCACACTCACTCCTACCCCCAGGGTACTGGGGCCTTTTGTCTCAGCCAGAAACGCCAGGGAGCCTCATCCCCAGGGGCTATTTACACACTGCCCTTCTCTAGGTTCCTTATCTTTCACTCTTCCTCTCCCACATTTCTTTTTCTTTTCCAGGAAACATTTGTCTCTGACTTGAGTGGGAATCTACCAAAGACCCCCTTCCTTTAAACGCCTCTGCCCAGCTGTGAAGATGAGGTTTGCAGGAAGGACTCGGCCTCTATGGTGGCTCCAGGCCAGGATGAGCCAGAATAGCTTTCCTGCTTGCTCATTTCTACATCTCCAAATCCACTAGTAGGTAGAAAACAGCAGCTCCCCCAAGGATTCACATATGAACTGTTTGGTATGATACTCCCTCCACCCTACACCAGTGGAACTGCAAATGCCACAGCCTAAAAATGCAAAGTCAGAAAAACAGGTGAATAGAGAGCTGAAACTTCTGAAATAGCCCAAATTAACAGCTTCGGTCAGTGGAGACTGGCCTCATTAATGCTGTATCAGGGTTGTCTCCAGCCTCAGGACTGGATGGGAGCTGATTCTTCAGGAAGATCCGGCTATCCTAGCTCAGCCCCGCTGCCTTGCTCATATGCCTCATAACCATTCTTTCAAAGCAAGACTTGACTCTCTGCCCTGCTCATGGCAGCATCCAAGTGTTCAAGGCCTTCCACGGTATGTCGCCTTTCCAGCCTGTCTCCCTCCACCCTCCCCATCGCATCCAGGAACACTGAGCCCCTTTCCTCACGATGCTGACTTTGATGGAGTTCCCTTTCCATCTGTATAATGCGTCCTTTCCTCCTCCACCTCACGAATTTCTTACTGTTTTACGGTGAAACATCACGATGATCTCAGCAGCATTTTCCTCAGGAAGACAGCTCCTACCTGTGTCACTTCCCTCTGGCAGTTCCGGGTTAAATAGTTTACCACATGCTTCCGTAACACAGTATGCCATTTCTGAACCTCCATCGGTTTACAAGACATGAGGCTTCCCGTGCCTGCCTATCTGCGGAGCCCTAGGTGCTCAGCAAGTCCTTGCTGAAAAATGTCACTAGCAAACAACCCAAATGAGTATCCACACAATGTTATACCATTGAGCAATCAAAAGGGCGAGACTAGTGAAACAAAAAGACTGCACACACTGTACAATCCACTCACATGAAATTCTGTAAAAGGCAAAAGTATATTTAGAGAAAGAAGACAGGTGGGAGGGAATTAACATCAACAACAAAAAGAAATGGCAACTTTTCCTCTGGAGACCAATGGACAGAGTTCAGAGTCTTACCTTGTTGCTACCATTAATGCTTCTAGCCTCTAACTTTCCAACTGACTCCCATTGTTCTTACTTGAAAGTCAGACTTCAGGCTAGTAAGACCTCAGGCTAATCAGATAGCCTGCCCTGGTCCCATCAGTACAGTGGGGTAGTTAGGAATAGAGGCAGGCCCTGAAATCAAAATGCCTGCCTGCGTTCAGCCCCAGTACTGACCAGCTGTTTAATCTTGGTCAAGCTGCTTGACCTCTCTTTGCCTTGTTTCCTAAATTATAAAATGGGAAAATAATGTCTACTTCACAGAGTTGTGAAGATTGTAAGAACTAACACACAGAATGCACTTTGCACAGTGTCTCACATGGGAAGTTCTCAGTAGATACTTGTTGTTAATAGGTTGTTACCCAAATCATCTCTTTGTGAAATGCTATTTTCTTTCACCCTCATGTGGAAAGTGTTCTTCCTCATGTTAACTTGAGAAGGTTGGCCAGGTGCAATGGCTCATGCCTATAATCCCAACACCTTGGGAGGCTGAGGTGGAAGGACTGCTTGATCCCAGGAGTTTGAGACCAGCCCAGGCAATAGAGTGAGACTATATCTACTGTAAACAAAACAATGTTTAAAGTAGCCATCTGTGGTGGTTCACATCTGTAGTTCCAGCTACTCAGGAGGCTGAGGTGGGAGGATTGCTTGAGCCCGGGAGGTGAAGGTTGCAGTGAGATTGCACCACTGCACTCCAGCCTGGGTGACAGAGCAAGATGAAAGACAGACACAGAGAAAGAAAGAAAGAGAGGGAGGGACGAAAGAAAGAGAAAAGAAAGAAAGGAGAGAGAGGAAGAAGGAGGTAGGGAGGGAAGGAAAGAAAGAAAAGAAACAGCTTAAGAAGGTGAAGAATGGCTCTGAGCTCAGCCCTAAGCTATGACAGTGATGGACGGGATGTTTGACAGTCAGGCAGGAAGCAGAGGAGGGTGCGGGAGGCTTTCTGTGGGCTCTTGCCCAGCTGGGCCTGCTCTTCTCTTGTGGGAAACTCTCTCCCTGCTGCAACTGGAGTGAGGATGCAGGTAAAAGGGAGGCAGAGCTGTGACTTGTTAACCCACTATATCCTCAACACCATGCATAGTGCCCAGTACACAGAAGGTGCTGGGTAAATGTCAAATTGTTGAGTAAGTGGACCAGTGGAAATGTAAGCTTAGATGCCCTCACTGCACTCACCACTGTGTTCTCACACCACAGAGTCAGGCAGTAGTTTTTCACTTGGCCCCAGGCATCCTTCATGCTGTCTTCTGAAAGGGGCACCAGCTCATTGCTGTCCCGAGGCCGATAGCTGGGTGGGGATAATGAGTAAGTCAGAGAACATGATCACAAACACCATCCTCTTCTTCCGTCCTCCAGGCCAGCACAAGGTCCCCACCGTACTCCTCACAGCTGCCCGCATGGAGCTCACCTCAGCTTAGTGTGTTCCAGCCGGAGCTCCAGTTTCTTAGACACCATGTCCCGGACCTGGCTGTAGGGGAGCCCGGGCCGAGTCTCCATGACTACCGTGTACTTGTAGTGCACCTTGAGTGTGTAGGGCATGGGAACACTGAGCTTCACTTCCTGAGTGGGGAGGAAGCAGAGGGAACTCCTGAGTGTCGGAGGCTTTCTCTCAACATCCCAGGTCACCGCAGCTTTGTGATTTGGCACTGGGGTACCCATGCAGCAGGGGAGAGGCCAATAAGTAACCAGTTTCATCACAGCCTAAAAGGCCTTCTAGAGGTCCTTTAGCCGACCTGTGCTTGGACAGGAATTCCTCTTGAGCAGGATCTGGCCCACCATCTTGGGACGCAGGAAATGTGTGCATGATAGTGGGGGAGGCTGTTAAGAGGTCCCTCGCCCGTGGACTCTAAGGTAGCAACTGGTTTGACCCTTCCACTGGGGCTCTTTCTACATGTAGACAGGTATGTCTGTGGTTGATAGCCCAATCTCTCCCATCTTCTACCACTTGAAACAATACAAGGGAAAAATGTTACCTTAGGCTCTTCTTGTTTCTGACCTAAATGGAAAAAGCAGGGAGTAAAACAAAAGATGACGATGAATGAACACGCTTGGCCAGCCCCTGCCACACACAGATGAAACCTCTTCAAACAGGGCCCCCAACCTCTTACCCTTTAATCTGTGGAGGAATTATGAACCTTAGTAAACTGTGGTTTTCCCATCTAACCCTGGGAAAGCATGAAGGTCACGAACACATAAACAAACTCAGTCTCTGCTTCCAGGGAGCCTGTAGGTAATTATCAAAGGACCAGCATATCCTCACCAACCCACGAGGTTGGTGGGGCTCCCAAAAGTCAGTTAAACCCGCAGGATCCAAAGCAATGAAAATCAGGAGTACAAGGTGAGCCAGAGGCCATAGGAAGAACTATTAGAGCCACTTATCCTCACCTGATTCTTTATTTGTGTATGTTTCCTAAAGTGCATCATATATCAATGTAATATAATTTATGTAAGAGAAGCATGCACAAAGATATTTACTATAGGGGGTACATGATCAGAAAAGACCATTGATCGCCAATCTGGCTGATCATTAGAATCACATGGGAAGTTTTTTTCTAAAATACGAATTCCCAAGCCTCATTCCAGTCCTAAATAATCAAGAACCAGTAGCCTAGGACCCCGTATTCACAAAATCATCCTAGATTTATATGTGATCCTTGATGAGCCTCTAGACAAACGATAACAATGAAAAAGCTGTCAAGGACATTGAGCTGGAGCAATGGCTCCATTTGAATATGGAATATACATTATATAACGTTATATGAACGTTAAGTGTCCTGGATACCATGATTCTATTGTGATTATTCAGGGGCCTGTGTTTTTGCAGATATGTAGGGTGAAGTGGCACGAGTCTGTAACTCATTTTCAACTGGCTTGGGGGAAAAAATAGAATGCAGCAGGGCCAATTCATGGTGCAAAATGTTAACAATTGGTGAGTGAAGTGAAAGATATTCTGAAGTGTATTGTATTCTACTGTCACCTTTTCTGTAAGTCTGATGTTTTTCAAAATAAAAATGGGGGAAGGGACATCTGAAGAGATTGTGATGGTCAGACATGTGTGGCAATCATCGATGTGGAATCTGGCCAACCACTTACTCTGTGCACCTCTACCAAGCACTTATCCAAGATCTGCTTCAAGTGCGTGAATGGTAAGAAGCCCGTCACTTCCCAAGACAGCCCTCTCCACACCAGGAAACAGCCTTTCGGAGAGAACATTTCTGTTTCACATCTGCCCATTGGTGCTTTGTTCACCCTCAGGGCTCCACAGAACAGTTTCTTTTCCAGATACAGTGCCTCAGTCATTTGAAGACAGTCACTCTATGCCCCTCTGAGGTAAACTTGTACAGCTACTTCAACTTTTCTTCCTGAGACGTGGTTTCAGTACCTAACGATCAAGGGGTTTGGTGACTAGGTGAGTCACTCAGAGACCAGCTACATTCACCCAAGCCTGGTGAGTGCTCTGCAGCAGGCAGGGAGAGAGGGCACTGATTTCATGTTTGGGGTGGGTGGGTAGTGCAGGAAAGGAGGGTTCTGGGGCTGTGTGGTCATTAGCTGAGTGACATGTTGGGAAAAGAAGAAACCAGAACTTCCTGGAAGGCGGGGAGAGGAACTCAGGAAGCAGCCTGGTATGCTCCTGCACCCAGAACAAGGCTGCTGCTCCAAGACAACTCACCTGGTGACAACTGGGGTCTTCCAGGGGCTTTGGAACTAGGAGGAGCTGGGATGTCAGACTCTGGAGAGCTTTCCTCCTGAAAGCAACAGGGAGTGATGATGAAAGTTCCCAGGCAGGGGAGGATGTGGGAAGATCCCCCTACAGAGGCTCCAGGAAAAGGAGCCAGATGGAAATAACTTCCTAAAAGTTGGAATGGCACTGACATTTGAGAAAGACAAAGGAAAATGTTGCCCCAAAGAGGAGGCAGGGTTGGCCTGATGAAAACGAAAACCACAGTGGAGAGAAGAACCCTAACCCGCTAAAACGCTCTCGCTGCTTGGGCATCTGTTTCAGCCATATTGGAAATCCATTGCACGTGGGGTAGGACTGAGCTCTTGTTTCCACTGCAGAGGGCACTGAGAAAGGCATCTGAGACTTTCCAAAGCATCTGGATATAGTGACTCTGACCAGGGAGGGTGGAGCTCATATACAACTGGTCACACAGTCTGGAGAGAGACAGGCTCCACTGCCGTCGAGTCACTTACAGGGCTGCTCAGATCCAACAAAGACAGCCCTCTAGGCCTGGCAGAAGGACAGACTTTTGAAGTGTGAGGAAGGGATTCAGTTTAGAAGCAGTGGCTGGCAAGGCCCACTCTGATTCAAAGCTCTAAAGCAGATCTCATTATATTATTTTTATTTGTATAGAGGTGGCATCTCTCTATTTTGCTCAGGCTGGTCTCAGACTCCTGAGCTCAAGTGATCCTCTCACCTCAGCCTCCCAAAGTGCTAGGATTACAGGTGTGAGCAACTGTGCCCGGCCTCATTGCATTTCTAATGGCATTGTACCAGCCAACACATTGACCTTCTTCCAGGTGAAGCAGACACACCTGGGAAGCCCTATCCCTCACATACTGTAGGCTTTGCTTCCCAAGTCACTTCTGACCAGGAAGAGTCGCAAAGGTGGATGGACCCAATGGGACCTATGGATGCCTTCAACTTAGCACATCTGGGCTTTTTTCCCTCATTCCCAGGTTCAGCTCTGGGCAGCTGGTGCCATCTCAAGGCAGGCTCAAGACTGGTGAGTCTTTCTCCAGGGGCCCCGACAGCACCTCTTTACACTGCTCCTCTTCCCCTCTAGGGAGAGATCTCTAAATGGTGGGAGGAAATGGGTCAGGCCTTGGCATGGCATTACCTGGGGCTGCTGCTGAGGGTGGATCCGCAGCTCAACTGGTTCAAGGTAGTTGCAGGGAACAAGCCCCTTCTGCAGTGCAGCGTCACAGAATCAGAAAGGGAAAATAGAGATGTGCTCATCAGTACCCACACCACACAACAGCCAGAGTCCTGGGGAAGGATGGCGAGCACACACAAAAAATCTGGCTGGTCTGCACAGAAGGCAGCAGATACTGCTCTACAGAAAGACTGCATGTGCTGCCGGGATCCCACGCCCATCACACTGCTCCCAGTCCTCTGCATACCTGCCCGTTGAACATGACCGTGGCCCAGTTGTCATTGCCCTTCTTCAAGACAAAGACAATGTTCCCTGGCATGACCTGGAGCTCTTCTTGTGTCTCAGGCACAAACCCGAACAGCACACGGTGAGCCTCCCCTTCCAGAGCCCTGCGGGGGGTTGACACAAGATCCAGCCCACATGCCCTCACACAAGCACAGTGAACTTGGAGCCAGGGACTTGGCTCCAGCCTGGGTCTAACTCCACACCTAACTGCAACTGCCTAGGTGACACTGAGCCTGCCTGGGCTCCCAAGAGGTCTTGGTAAGAAACTGGTGTACACATGCTCATAACCATATATGCAGAGGGACAAGAATAAAATTAAAAAGCCACAACACTAGATAGTGAGGCCTTACAATCCTCATCCTCCCTTCCCTTCTGAGGAGGAAGGTCCCTGGCTGGGTCATCTCATCCAGCTCCTGCGGCTGGGCTGGGGTGGATCAGATGACTCTGGTCAGGGGAACAGCATAAGGTGGAAGTCAAGTGAGAGCCATCTGGGCGAGAAAGACAGGTGGGAGAAGAGGGAGGAGAACCACCTAGAGCCAGCACTGGGCCAGGGTAAGGAGACTGTGAGGAAGGGAGGTGACGGGCAGCGTGCGGGATGCTCCTAGAGTGCTGTGAGGCTGCCCAGCTGCGGTGGTGCCGTGTCGATTCCCTCAGGGCTGACCACGCTTCTAGGCTCTGGGGCTCTGACTGGTGTCACTTTGGAAGGCGTGACTGAGAGCTGGCGTTCGGGTTTCAGGCTTCCCTCCCTTTACTCCCTGCTCCGTTACTTCTTCCTCAGCCCTTCCTTGTTTCCAGACAGCATGTCTATTCCTGTAGGAATTACAGGCCCTTCCAGATGACAGGGAGTTTAGGAACGAGCTCATCCAGCGCCCTCATTTTTGTAGTTGCTTTGGTACTTTTGTCACTTTTTATTTATTTTTATTTTTTGAGACAGAGTGTTACTCTGTTTCCCAGGCTGGAGTGCAGTGGCGTGATCTCGACTCACTACAACCTCTGCTTCCCCAGTTCAAGTAATTCTCCTGCATCATCCTCCCAAGTAGCTCCCAACAGGCACACATCACCACCTACAGCTAATTTTTGTATTTTTAGTAGAGATGGAATTTTGCCATGTTGGCCCGGCTGGTCTCGAACTCCTGACCTCAAGTGATCTGCCCACCTTCATCTCCCAAAGTGCTGGGATTACAGGCATGAGATGTGAGCTAGCGCACAGGCCAATCACTTTGTGAAACCTACTTTTTGGGTGGGGGGACCAGGCGTGCTTCATTACTTAGAGGGAATTCTTAAGAAAGCTGTAGGTTATGTCACCCTTTGTTTTTCATCTTACAGAAGAAGGACTTCCTTTTCTTGAGTCCTTCCCCTTTACTTCTTCAGAAAACACAAGCCAATAGGGAGTGGAAAGTGCTTGCACAGGAAAAAGGACGCCATTACAGCTTCCTGTCTCCAGAGAGCTCTGCTTGACCGCATCAGTGGGGGCTGTGGCCAGTGGAAACTGAACTCCTACCTGAGGTCAGCGTCCTGGCCCCTAGGGTAGCTATGTTCCACAGGCACCACTCCCCTTTGGCAACAACTCCTTGCCAGGTGGGCGGCTGTGCATGTGAACAGGGGCCACTGGGACACCATGTAGCTGCAGCCAGGTCCCGATGCCTCACCCCATCACAGCCAAGACTCCACCCCCACCATATCATTCTGTTCTAACCTTGATAACAGAAGAGACCTGACATTCTAGAAAATTCCACAAGATTTACACCCTGACCCGAGTTTCATCTTCATCCCTCCCTTTCTTGCTATCAGTTCAGGCTTGGAGCCTGGATATTCTGCATATGGATTTAAATCTAACTTACCTGAAGATCTCTGGAGTTTTAGGTCTGGGCGGAGGCTCAGCTGCCTGTTGAACATTCAGGAGAAGTGAAAATGCAAAAGGCAATGAGGGAAAGCAGGGAGAGAGAACAAATGGCTAATGATAACTCAAGCATTCTTCCAGACCAGAAAATCAAATAATGCATTATTGACTGATGGGAACACTGTCTTGGGAGAGGGCACAGTCGCCCTGACTGAACACTGGGAAATTACACCTCCCACCAGCTCCCCAGGTGCAGGTTTCACTAGCACCGCAATTCATTTAGAGCCAGAGCTAGTTTCTAGGCTAGCTCTCACACGGCAACATGGTGTCACAAGAGTGCTTCGACCTTGAGCTCTGTCCTTTTCCTAGGACAGTTGCCAAAAGCTCTGTTCTGTAATTAATGTCTACTACATCACATGACACTTCTGAGTATTTTTTAATTAATTTTTTTTTTTTGAGATGGAATCTCCCTCTGTCGCCCAGGCTGGAGTGCAGTGGCGTGATCTCAGCTCACTGCAACCTCTGCCTCCCAGGTTCAAGTGATTCTCCTGCCACCACACCCTGCTAATATTTGTATTTTCAGTAGAGATGGGGATTTCACCATGTTGGTCAGGCTGGTCTGGAACTCCTGGACTCGAGTGACCTGCTCACCTCAACCTCCCAAAATGCTGGGATTATAGGTGTGAGCCACTGTTCCTGGTCACTTCTGAGCATTTAAAATTGACACAGGATCCACTGACTGGGCAAAGATCTCCCCCGTTCTACACTGGATACTATGGAGTCCAGTGATCTTGGCTGTGTTCCCCTCATGGTCCTCTGGCTGGGCTGAAGCTGAAGGGACTTCAGCAAGGCTTTCATCAACTTTATTGTAAAGAAAGAGATCACAGACTCTAGATCTGGAACACACACTCCCTGCTCAGAAAACCCGCCCTTGCTGGTACTGGCCAGTGCTCTTCCCGTGATGGTTTCATTGCCACAGAGCTTTTTACTTCCTCTACATGCGCCTCCTTCCCTTCGCAAGGAAGTACTGTCTGCATTTCTAGCTTCACTGTCATCCAGTTCATCTGAGCCCACCTCTCCAAGCCCAGTTTGGGCAGAAAAAGGGTTCACACTCTCTGTGTTCCCAGGGGAACCCCTGCACATGGGTGATGGGTAGAGCCAGGAGAGCCCAAACCTCAGGCCCAGGCCCCACAGGGTTCCCCACTTGCCCCTGTACCCAAGAAGAGGCTTTGTTAACAAGCCTTCCATCGCTTGTGTTTCAGCTTCCTGAGAGAATGGGTGAGGCTTCAGAGAGGATCAGCACATCTCTTTAGAGATGTGAAGACTGACATTTGGGGTGAAGCAGGAGAGTCGGCTTCAGAGGACTTGGGGTGAAGTCTGACACTGCCTCATTTCCTTACCAGCCATGGAACTCGGGACTGCAGGAGGGCAGACAGATCCCTTCAGCTGCACTGAGGGCCACTTGAAGGAGCCTTACAAGAAGGCAGCTCAGCACACACAGTCTCTCTCCCCAGTTGGATGCTCACAGAAAGCTCTCGAGAACCAGGCCCATGGAGAAGGTCAGGAATGCCTCACCTGTGGTTGCAGAGGGGCAAAACCAGAGAAACTGTCTTGATCCACCACAGACGCCACAACCTGAAATCAAGGACAGGAGGGTGTGAGGTTCTGCCAGAGCTGTTTCCATTCTTCTGGGTGTCCCTCCTTGCTCATGTCCTGAGCCTGGTTTCAGACGTGGACAGTAACTAAGGATTAGATTCCTGATCCTCTGGATTAGGAGTTCAGCAACTGAAGAAACAAGTATTCACCCAACCCCTGCTAACACAGGCTTGCTTTCTCCTCTCTTAAAATAATGTTTTTATTGAGGTGCAATTTGTATAACGCCAAATGAACTTTTTTTTTTTTTTTTTTTTGAGATGGAGTCTCACTCTGTTGCCAGGCTGAAGTGCAGTGGCACGATCTCAGCACACTGCAACCTCCACCTCTGGGTTCAAGCAATTCTCCTGTCTCAGCCTCCCAAGTAGCTGGAACTGCAGGTGTGCGCCACCACACTCAGCTAATGTTTCTATTTTTAGTAGAGGTGGGGTTTTGCCATGTTGGCCAGGCTGGTCTCAAACTTCTGACCTCAGGTGATCTACCCACCTCACCCTCCCAAAGTGCTGGGATTACAGGCGTGAGCCACCATGCACGGCTCAAATTAGTCATTTTAAAGTGAATGATTCAGTGGCATTTGTCACATTCACAATGCTGTGCAACTACCGCCTCTAATTCCAAAACATTTTCATCACTCCAGAAGAAAATGCTGTACCCATTAAGCAGTTAGTCCACATGCCCCTTCCCCCTAAACTGGCAACAACCACTTCGCTTTCTATGACTGACTTAAGCCCCCTTCTCTGAGTTTTAAAAATCAGATTTTCATCATTCATTCATATAATAATGAAAACATTTTTGCTGAGAGCTGTTATGTGTCTAGCTCTGTGCCAGGCTGTGAGGACCCAGTGGTGATCAAGCAGACATGGGCTCTGCCCTCTCAGTGCTGAGATTGCACAAGACATTTCATGTAAGTGGAACTGTGTAACAGGTGGCCTTTTGTGTCTGGCTTCCTTCACATAACTTCATGTTCTCAAGGCCCATCCATGTTGTATCATGCATCCTACTCCATTTCTTTTTATGGCTGTGTAGTATTCTGCTGCATGGATATATCACATTTTGATTATCCATTCACCAGTTGATAGATATTTCGGGTGTTTCCGTTAACCCAGCCTTTCTTGACCTCTGCTAGTATGCTAGACCCAGCTACCTGACCACTGGGCAACTTTAGCCCTACGAATGTGTCAAAGTCAAATGTGGTTTTGGAAGGGCACTGCTGACTCACTTCAGATCATGTCTGAAAGAATGTACCTGAATTTATTATTATTGTTATTGAGACAGAGTTTCTCTCTTGTTGCCCAGGCTGGAGTGCAGTGGCATGATCTCAGCTCACTGCAACCTCCACCTCCTGGGTCCAAGCGATTTTCCTGCCTCAGCCTCCCGAGTAGCTGGGATTACAGGCATGCGCCACAGCACCTGGCTCATTTTGTATTTTTAGTAGAGACAGGGTTTCACCATGTTGGCCAGCCTGGTCTTGAACTCCTGGCCTCAAGTGATCTGCCTGCCTCAGCCTCCCAAAGTGCTGGGATTACAGGCATGAGCCACTGCGCCCGGCCAAGACCCAGATTTAGAAGAAGTTCAATTTAAGACATAGTCTAAACATAGGGCTGTAGGAGTGGGGAAAGATTCCTCAGCCCACGAAAACGTGAATTACAAGGCACATTAAGCCAAGAGGATCCCATGCTAATCTCTTTCCTTAACATGTTCTCTCCATATTTATTTTTATTTTTTAGAAACAGAGTCTCACTCTGTCGCTCAGGCTAGAGTACAGTGGTGCAATCATAGCTCACTGTAACACTGAACTCCTGGGTTCAAGCGATCCTCTAGCCTCAGCCTCTCCACTAGCAAGGCTGGTCTCAAACTCCTGGCCTCAAATGATCCTCCCACTTCAGCCTCCCAAAGCACTGGGATTACAGGCATGAGCCACCCTTCCTGGTTCTCTCTTCACATTTAGTGAGCTCCTCATGTCTGTGTTTTCCCTCCATTGGCTCAGTCCCCAAGACTTAGCATTCTATGAGTTACCCTTGGCTCTCACCTAGGGTCAAGCTGGAAGGGAAGAATGAGAGCAGCCTGGAGAAAATAAACCAGAAGTGGCTGCCTATCTTTCAGCCAAATCTCCTTCCTATAAACAAGTCTCTCGTTGCCATCCCAGGGACAGAGCCACGAGGAGGCCACCATCCTCTCAAGAGTCCCTCCTACTTTGCTCCACAGGGCCCAGGCCATGGGAGACTCAGGGGAAGCTGAGTAATCCCACCTACCGTCGCCTTGCCTAGATAATCCTTCTTGGCCAGCTGAGCCACTTGTCTCTCATTTGGTCGAAACAGCCTGCCCACAGGGATCACCACGGGCTCATACAGCTTCTGCTTCTGTAACACAGAAAATGTAGCATTTCCTTACCTGAAAATGGGGGTGACGATGCTTGCCCTGCCTCCCTCAGCGAATAGATGCAAGAATTCTTTGAAATAACCACATAGAAGCATTTTTCCAAATGATACTGTCATTCCTCTAGGGTGTTAAGGTAGGGATCGTTGGTTTCAATATCACCTTCTGCTGAGAGGTCACGCAGACATTGTTGGTGCTGTTTGCCCAGCAACCTCTTTTCCCAGGGGAACTGCTCCTCTCCCACTCAGTGTGGTGTCTGTAGGGTTCTTGCATAGTGTAGACGGCACCACCATGACAAGGATGGCCCCGAATCAAGCAAGGCTCATGACAGTGCTCCCTTGGATGGGTATTTGCTGACAAGGATAGGCATATAAAGACTGACTTGAGCCCTCTTCTCTGTGTTTTAAAGATCAGATTTAAAGCTAACCTTATTCACAAATATGCTTGAACTATGAATAACTTCTTTCGTTCATTCACATAATCAAACACTTTTTAGTCAGGTGCGCCAGCTCACATCTGTAATCCTAGCATCTTGGGAGTCCAAGGTGGACGGTTCGCCAGAGGTCAGGAGTTCGAGACCAGCCTGGCCAACATGGCAAAACCCCATCTCTATTAAAATTACAAAAATTAGCCAGGCATGATGGCATGTGCCTGAAAGCCCAGCTACTTGGGAGGCTGAGGCAGGAGAATTGCTTGAACCCAGGAGGCAGAGGTTGCAGTGAGCCAAGATCACACTCCTGGACTCAAGCTGGGCAACAGAGTGAGACTCCATCTCAAAACAAAACAAAACATTTTTTTGAGAGCTGTTATGTGCCTAGCACTGTGCCAGGCTGTGAGGACTCGGTGGTGATCGAGGAGATATGGGCTCTGCCCTCTCAGTGCTGAGAGTCTGTGCAGACCACTCCAGCATCCCACATCCTGTTCTGCATTGCCAAGGGGCCCCACTCCGAGGGCGCTGTGAGGCATGAGCTCTGCCGTCCCATATTCTAGGCCTCAGCTTCTTAGCACAGATTCAAGATCTTAAGTGGAACTATACCCTTAGATGAGTGTTGCCCGGACCCACAGAAAGTAAAAGCACCACTTTGATAGTTTCTCAGTGGCATGTCCTCTGAGACAAATGAGCATCCAGTGAACTCCTCTCACCACCTGCATCACCGATACGCTTACCCAGACACACTCCATGGCCTTGTCGATTTTGGAATGTCTGGGCTCAGACTTCATGCTGGTGGCCAATGCTAACTGTTCCTCAGCTTTTTTCCATTCCTCCTTCTTGGCATACATGAAAGCAATGTTATATAACACCTGGAAAAGCACAGACCACAACACAAAACTTGAGACTACTCCAAATCAAGGTGCCAGGGAAGGGCTCACACGTATACTCTGGGAATGCTGCCTGGTAACATTTCTCCCTTTCTCAGCTCTCCTGGGAATACCTAAAATACAGTGCAATTAGTCTTGCTACTGAGTTACGTCAAACACAAACACGGTGTTAAGGAAACACCATTGAATGTATAAATGCAACATCATGTGTATTCTTCCAATAACAAAATAGGTCAGGAAGGGACAAGAACTATTGTATATAAAGTGTTCAAACCAGGTTTAAAAAAAGAAAAAAGAGCTGGGCGCGGTGGCTCACGTCTGTAATCCCAGCACTTTGGGAGGCTGAGGCGGGTGGATCACGAGGCCAAGAGATCGAGACCACCCTGGTCAACATGGTGAAACCCCGTCTCTACTAAAAATACAAAAAATTAGCTGGGCATGGTGGCGTGTGCCTGTAATCCCAGCTACTCAGGAGGCTGAGGCAGGAGAATTGCCTGAACCCAGGAGGCAGAGGTTGTGGTGAGCCGAGATCACGCCATTGCACTCCAGCCTGGGTAACAAGAGCGAAACTCCATCTCAAAAAAAAAAAAAAGAAAGAAAGAAAAAGAAAAAAGAATTGGCCAAGTGCTGTGGCTCATGCTCCCAGCACTTTGGGAGGCTGAGGTGGGCAGATTACGAGGTCAGGAGTTCCAGACCAGCCTGGCCAACATAGTGAAAACCCATCTCTACTAAAAATACAAAAATTAGCCGGGTGTGTGATGAGTGCCTGTAGTCCCAGCTATTCAGGAGGCTGAGGTGGGAGAATTACTTGAACCTGGGAGGCGGAGGTTGCAGCAAGCCAAGACCATGCCACTGCACTCCAGCCTGGGTGACAAAGTGAGACTCCATCTCCAAAAAAAAACAAACAAACAAAAAAAAGAATTGTTATGCTGTTTTAGTATGAGTTGCTTTAACAAAAGAGTGACTTGCTCAAGGCCCCTTCTAGAGGCAGACAGAGTTGGGAATAAAATACAAGTGTGTGGCCTTCCAGTCCAGCTCCTGCCACTGTCCCTAGGCTGAAACACTGGACAGGTACAGGGCGGGAAGAGGGATCAAGATGCAACCTCTGTACCAGCACCCAGCAGAACCTGGCTCAGACCACATGAATAACAAGACTAATACAGCAACACAGGCCAGGCGCTGTGGCTCACACCCGTAATCTCAGCACTTTGGGAGGCCAAGGCAGGTGAATCACTTGAGGTCAGGAGTTCGAGATCAGCCTGGCCAACATGGAGAAAACTGTGTCTACTAAAAATACAAAAATTAGCTGGGCGTGGTGGTGGGCACCTGTAATCCCAGCTACTTGGGAAACTGAGGCAGGAGAATCGCTTGAACCCAGGAGACAGAGGTTAGCACAGAAGCCAGGGGAATGCTTCCCCTGGGGCGGGGAAGGAATGGTAAATGCAACAGTAGTCATACTTTCCAGGTCTTGAGTTGGGCTGTAGATTCTTGAGTGTTTATCTTATTATTATGCTTCATAATCTACACATAATTGTTTGGATGCATTACTAAGATTTTTAAAATGGCTTGACTAAAATAATTTTTTGTTTTGAGATAGAGTTTCGCTCTTGTTGCCCAAGCTAGAGTGCGATGGCATGATCTCGGCTCACTGTAACTTCCACCTCACGGGTTCAAGTGATTCTCCTGCTTCAGCCTCCCAAGTAGCTGGGACTGCAGGCACGCGGTACCACACCTGGCTAATTTTTTTTTTTTTTTTTGTATTTTTAGCAGAAATGGGGTTTCTTTTCTTTTTTTTTTTTAAGAGAGAAAGAAAAAAAAGTAATGAAGAAGAGGAAAAAAAGGAAGAGGAGGAAGGAGAGAGAACGGGAGTGTTGCTTAATTGCCCAGGCTAGAATGCAGTCTAAAAATGGGTATTGAAAACCTCCCTTATACCATCAATCGTGCTTAATAATGGCCAACCAATATTTCATTTAAACCTGTGGGTAGGTGTGATGTGTACTGATAAGAATGCATATCTTGTGTGTTTAAAGTAAAGAGTTCTATAAATGTTTATTAAGTTAACTTGTTCCGGATCTGAGTTCAAGTCCAGGATATCCTTATTAATTTTCTGTCTCATTGATCTATCTAATATTGATGTTGAAATCTCCCACTACTACTGTGTGGGAGTCCAAGTCTCTTACAAGTCTTATGTATCCAGTATTGGGTGCGTACACATCCAGGATTGTCAGCTCTTCTTGTTGCATTGATCCTTTTACCATCATGTCCTCTTTTGATCTTTGTTGCTTTAAAATCCATTCCATCAGAGGTGAGAGTTGCAACCTCTTCTTTTTATTTATTTATTTATTTTTGCTCTCCATTTGGTTGAGAAATCTTTCTCCATCCCTTTGTTTTGACCCTTTATGTATACTTGAATGTAAGATGGGTTTGGATGCAGCATACCGATGGGTTTTGGCTGTATCTTTTGATTGGGGACTTAGTCAATTTAAATTTAAAATTACTGCCATTTGATGTTAGCTGGCTATTTTGCCCATTAGTTGATATAAATTCTTCATTATGTTGATATGCTTTACTTTTTGGTATATTTTTAGAAAGGCTAATGCTGGTTGTTCCTTTCTATGTGTAATGCTTCTTTCAGAAGCTCTTGTAAAGCAGGCCTGGTGGTGACAAAAATCTCTGAGTACTTGCTTGTTTGCAAAGGATTTTATTTTTCCTTCACTTATGGAGCTCAGTTTGGCTGAATATGAAATTCTGGGTTGAAAGTTCTTTTCATTAAGGATGTTGAATATTGGCCCCCACTCTCTTCTGGCTTGTAGAGTTTCTGCCGAGAGATCTGCTGTGAGTCTGATGGGCTTCCCTTTGTGGGTGACCCGACCTTTCTCTCTGGCTGCCCTTAGTATTTTCTCCTTCGTTTCAACCCTGGTGAATCTAACGATTATGTGCCTTGGGGTTGCTCCTCTTGAGGAATATCTTTGTGGTGTTCTCTATATTACCTGGAGTTGAATATTGTCCTGCCTTGCTAGGTTGGGAAAGTTTTCCTGAATAATATCATGAAGGGTATTTTCCAGCTTGGAATCATTCTCTTTGTCACATTCAAGTACACCTATCAAACGTAGATTAGGAGAGAGATCCAAGATGGCTGATTGTTAGCAGCTCAGGATTGTGGCTCCCAGTGAAAGCACAGAAAAGGAGAGGACACCACACTTTTAGATGAATTTTTGTTGCTCATGGACCAGGAGATTCCCAGCGGAGGAGCCCCACAGGTCACCACCGCGACTCTTGTGGCCAGCGCGGCTGTTTTGCTGGCCCTTGGCACAGCGGTTTTTGGCGCAGAAAAGCACCATCAATCTTACCACCACCATTTTAGCCGGCGCAGTGGGTTGCTCAGATTTTGGCGCTGGGAATCAAAAAATTGGACGTCCACTCAGAAACCTAATTAGAAAGACAGTGATTACAAACACGACAGATGGATAAATTTATAACGAAGGGAAGAAACCAGCCTAAAAAGGCTGAGAATACCCAAAATCAGGATGCCTCTCCCTCTGCAGGGGATTGCAGTTCCTCATCAGCAATGGAACAAGGGCTGATGGAGAAAGACTGTGTTCCATTAACAGAGGCAGGCTTCAGAAGGTGGATGATAAGAAACTTCTTGGAGTTGAAAGAACTTGTTCTAACACAATGCAAAGAAACTAAGAACCTTGAAAAAAGGTTTGATGAAATGCTAACAAGAACAGACAATATAGAGAGGAATATAAGTGAATTAACGGAGTTGAAAAATACAACATGAGAACTTCATGAAGTATGCACAAGTTTTAACAGCCGAATTGATCAAGCAGAAGAAAGGATATCAGAGGTTGAAGACCAACTTAATGAAATAAAACGAGAAGACAAGAATAGCGTAAAAAGGATAAAAAGGAATGAGCAAAGTCTCCAAGAAATATGAGAAATGGGGTTTCATCACATTGGCCAGGCTGGTCTCGAACTCCTGACCTCAGGTGATCCACCTGCCTCGGCCTCCCAAAGTGCTGGGATTACAGGCGTGAGCCACCATGCCCTACTAAATAAATTATTTAAAATAGGATATTATGGAAATGAGGGGGTGTGACACTTGAGGCTATGTTATAAAAGACACTGACACTCTGTCTTGCTCTTGGGTCACTTGCTCTGGGGTATGCTAGCTGCCATGTCATGACAAGACTTATGCAGCCCTAGAGAGTTCATTTAGCAAAGAACTGAGGCTTCTACCAACAACACGAACTTGCCAAACTCAGACAGGTGGCAAGGTTGGTGTTTCTGTGGCATTAGTGGCTGGTGCTGGATGATGGGGGCCAGGATCAATCCTGGAAGTGGAAATAAGGACTCCTTTCAGGCCTATTTCTGAGACTCAATGAGCTACTGCCTTCTGAATTTGTCAACTTCTCCAGCCCACCCCGACCTTGGGTGCAGAAAGAAAGAACTTAGGTCATTTAAAACTTCCTATTTGGTTCTCAGCTACCTTCTCTTAAGACATCTCCCTACAATTAGCTTTTACGAAATGATGACAAGAAAAACTTTGACACTCTTCAAAAATAGTCATGCGATTCTCCAAAGCCAGGGTTGCACCACAGTAGGAAGGGAAGGATTATAAGTAGGGAAATGACTGGAAGCTCCCACGTGACAAAGAGGGGCTTAGACCCTGAAAAGTTCAGCCTTACTTGCAGACAGGGCCACTCAGCCAGTAGGTTTGTCCTCTCAGGCCATTTCACCCAAACTCCAGGGGAAACACTCCTCTCGTGGGATTCTGCTTTGATGCTGCTGTGGCATAATCCTTTTTCTAGAGCCACTTGTCCCCCAACTGTTTAATCTGTATAAGTGGGCTCTCATTGCATTATTGGCAATGTCTGGAGGTATTTTAGGTTGTCACACTGAGTGGTGGTGGCAGTGCTACTGGCTACTAGAGATGCTGTCAAAGATCCCACAATCCACAGGCCATACCGCACCCCACTCCCACCTCCACCACAATACAAGATTGTTGGGTCTAACACATTAATAGCACCACAGTTGAGAAACCCTACTCAAGAAGCTGGTCAAATGGCAGCCAATTCCCACCGCAAAGCTCCATCTTCCCAGAATGTGAGAAGTGAAGTAAGTTGCTAGCCTGCTGCAGGGTTGGGATGGGGCCACATGTCCCCAGCGGCCGAGGGCAGCTACAGACTCTATTATTAGCCCTGAGCGACCCTGGGAACACTTGACTTCTTGTGCCTGAGAAACTAAAGCACCAGTGATTTTTCTAAAGAAAGATCTGTGACATTTACAGGAATTTTAGTTTTCAAAACTGCTGATATATACTTAGAAGTGGGAGGGGTGGGAAGGGCCAACTGGAAAAAGTAAATGAACCTGCAAAGTCAAAGCCAGTCATGACTCTCCCTTTTAACAATAGAGAAAAGAAGTTGTTCTGCAGAAATCTTTACCTAAATATGTGCCTTGAGCTGTTCTTTGAGAAAAAGGGGACAGATTTATGCCAAATTATCCTCACTCTCTTTAGGTATCAATCAAGTACATGGGGTAAGATCCATGGATAGTACAGAGTGTGGTCTATAAACTTGGAAACTGAGGAAGGTTCTGGCAGGTCTGGACAATGAACTCATGATTTTGGATCTGCTAGCAAAATGCTGAACACATAGCTTGTCAATCTGAATTGCTAAACAAAACATGCACATTATCGTGAATATTTTCACAAGCCAACACACTTGTGTCCAGCTTCCCTTCAGAGAGCCCAGTGGGCTCATTTTCACCTGGTCCTCTGAGCCTCACATGAATAAGACATAAGCCCCCACATAACTGATGACAATGCCTTGATGAACCTGAAATAATCCATCTCAGTCTTTTCTTCAGGGAAAATCTGAGTCTCAAGGCGGAGGAGGCAAAATGGCTTTTCCAAGCTCCTGGAGGTGTCAACAGATCACTGCGCATCTGAACCATCAGCTGTCCATCCAGCCAGGATCCCCTCCTGCCCAGCACAGGCCCTGTTCTCCTTACCTCACAGGCAAACAGCTTGAACTGAAGCCCCAGGATCTTATAGTCTATCAGCTGGTTCCCTCGAAGCTGAGTCAAGGCTTCTTTAAGGTCTTTGATAGCCAAATCGTATCTGCAGGACAGAGGGGGAAAATACAGCAGTGCATGGAAGAATAAATGCCGCATAAAATGTGAGTCTGCTTCTCCCTTCCCCATCTCTTTCACTGGGACAAGAAGCCTTTCAGTTCCTTTTGACCTGTTCTAGTTTTTCAGCAATCCTGAGCGCAAGGATTCCATAGAACTCCTTGGGAATGGTGCCCCCCAACCCCCAAGAGCTGTACCTCACAGCAACCCCGAGTGCCCCAGTCTTGGACAATCACAGGGAGTTTCTTCTCTATTGACTGCACACAACTTTCACCTTTCTGACAACCTGGCTTGTCGCTTTTCAAATGCCATATACGCAATTATCAGGCTATTTAAATAATACATGGTGTAGAAGGTAGAACCCTGATCTCAAGGAAGTTTAGAGCTGAGCACAAGGGCTGGTTGGCCAAGAGAGTCGTAAGGAACGGGTGCCAGTGTGGCTGGGGGAGAAGTTCCATTTGCCATCACTGTTAGGGTTGAGGTAAGTCCCAGGGCGGAGCAGCAGCGATACGGGAAATCAGAGGAGGGCTTTCTCTAGGATCCGTTGTTAATAAAGATGATTGTAAAACCTACTAAATGCATGCAGGCCATTCCTTAAGCAGCAGCGGACCTTTCCAGTTGCTTCCACACATCTTTCTGGGTTACTGGGAAGGGGAAGAAGGTACCCAAAAGTACCCCAGAAATAAAGTTCCTCTTTTTAAGCTGGAAGGAGGGGTGACTACCTTCAATTCACTGAGCCACTGAGCCTCTTCCACTGAGAAGAGGACAGGCAGAAGCACAGGATTCCCTTTCCCCAGCAGCTGCAATTTCCACTGTGTTCTGTTGCCTGTTTGGGAGCTGGCTAAAGGTCTCAGAGGGCACACACTTTAAGTACCTTCAGCATTAACTATCAACGTGCCTTCCTCCCTGCTGAGCTGGCTAAGCAGATGGATTTCAGCTGGGAAGTGACACCACCTAGGTCTACCAGGAATTACATGAGCCCAACAAAATCCTCCTAATAATTCCCTGGCCCATCAGAATGTCTACAGAGGCCAGGTGCGGTGGCTCACACCTGCAATCCCAGCACTTTGGGAGGCCGAGGCAAGTGGATCACTTGAGGTCTGGAGTTCAAGACCAGCCTGGCCAACATGGTGAAATCCCGTCTCTACCAAAAATATATAAAAAATTAGCCAGGCGTGGTGGTGCGTGCCCATAGTCCCAGCTACTCAGGAGGTTGAGGCAGGAGAATCGCTTGAACCCAGGAGGCAGAGGTTGAAGTGAGCCAAAATCGTACTGCTACATTCCAGCCTGGGTGACAGAGCGAGACTCTGACTCAAAAAAAAAAAAAAAAAAGATGTCTACAGATTTGGACCTGGTGGGAGGAAGAGAGAAAGAACTGACAGCTTATTCAGAGCATTTGCTTTGTGTTAAAGATAGGGTAGACCTGCTTGGGCAACACAGCGAAACCCCATCTCTACTAAAAGTACAAAAAATTAGCCAGGCATGGGGCCTGTAGTCCCAACTACTCAAGGAGCTGAGGTGGAGAACACCTGAGCTCAGGAATTCAAGACTGCAGTGAGACGTGATCTCACTACTCCTCTCCAGCCTGGGCGACAGAGTGAAATCCTGTCTCAAAAAAAAAAAAAAAAGAAAGAAAGAAAGAAAAGAAAAAAGAAAGCCTAATAACCAAAAAACCAGGGTGGGGCTGAGCCTTGAGCCTGCAGTTCCAGCTACTCTGCCAGAGGCTGGGCAGGAGGATCACTTGAGCCCAGGAGTTTGAGGCCAGCCTGGACAACATAGTGAGACCCCCTTTTCAAAAAAATTGATTACTTGCTTTATTTATTCATTTTGTTATAAAGATGGAGTCTCACTATGTTGCTTAGGCTGGTCTTGAACTCCTGGATTCAAGCAATCCTCCCACCTCAGCCTCCCAAAGTCCCAAGACTGTAGGTGTGAGCCACTGCACAGGGCCTAATTAATTAATTTGTAAAACGGGGAGGGGGTATCCTTGTTTTTTTTTTGTTTGTTTGTTTTGTTTTGTTTGAGACAGAGTCTCACTGTTGCCAGGCTGGAGTGCAGTGGCCTAACCTTGGCTCACTACAACCTCCAACTCCCTGGTTCAAACTATTCTCCTGCCTCAGCCTCTCGAGTAGCTGGGAGTTTAGGCCTGCACCACCACCCTCGGCTGATTTTTGTGTTTTTAGGAGAGACAGGGTTTCAACATGTTGGCCAGGATGGTCTCGATCTCTTGACCTCATGATCCACCCACCTCGGCCTCCTAAAGTGCTGGGATTACAGGCTTGAGCCACCACGCCCAGCCTGTATCGTTTTTAAGCATGTCTCTGAAGGCATTGGCGTGCTTCCCAGCCCCCTCGCTCCCTGCTACAGGCCTCTCCTCGGCCTCTCCACTGTTTACCCAGAGCTGCAGTCCTGAGGGGTTTCCACTTTGTCACACAGCTCCTTTCCCACTGTACAGGGTCGCAATAAGCTCAGTATGAGAATCCCAAAATAGCACTCAGCACTGTGTGCCAGCGGGCAGTGCTGCGGCAGCCCCCGCCCTTCTTCAGAGGCTCTCTTTGGAGCCATTTGGAAGCATCCCCAAAGAGGCAGCCAAGGTGCTGGCAGCTTCCTGCTGGGCTCTGCTGGGCTGGGCGTGGGTGTTTTCTTCACACCCACACTTCAGTGACACCCCATAGGGCACTGTGGCTGCACTGGACCCAAAGCCCCACTCCTCCCAGGCAGGGAGTCAGTCCACCAGCCGAAGCAGTAACCTTGCCACGGCTTTTTACAAGCTCCAGGCTTGAGAGTTTATAATCCCCATTTGTGTAATACTACTGTGAGGTTTCTTAGTAACCACTGAAGTAAACCTGCTTGTTCCGTGCTGCCAGTGCCCCATGCGGTCCAGAGTCCGCAGCTCATACACCTGCAGCCAGGATAATGGCATCTCAGCAAGCTGAAAGAAGTCAAAACGTCAGACACCTTTGAGATGCTGCAGTGGCTGCTGCAACAGAGGTTTGGGTCCACTCCCTTTCCTGTTTCCCGGTCAGCAGGGAGAAGGCTTTGCTATGGAGCCTCTACAAGCCTGCTCCCTTGAAAGGGTCTCACCCTTACCGTCATGCCCTAAGACTCGTAAGGCACAGGATCTGAAAGACAGCTTTGAGCTCCTCTGCCTTTCAGATGACAAGGCTGGGGCCAGAGAGGTGAGAAAGCTTGACCGTGATCATCACTGAGGCACCACCTACTCAGAAATGTGCTCTAACTTTGTTCTCTTGGAACTTTATGACGGAAGAGCAATACAACAACACATGAAAGTGGGGAAATAGAGGGGAGAAAACCTCCATGCATTACATTATCAGCCTTCAACAGTTCCCACTGTAAGCTGAGGGAATTCCCCACCCCTTTTTTTTTCCGGACAGAATCTTGCTCTGTTGCCCAGGCTGGAGTGCAGTGGTGTGATCTCGGCTTACTGCAACCTCCGCCTCCCAGGTATAAGCTATTCTCCTGCCTCAGCCTCCCACGCAGATGGAATTACAGGCATCTGCCACCATGTGCTGCTAATTTTTTGTATTTTTAGTGGAGATGGGGTTTCGCCATGTTGGCCAGGCTGGTCTCCAACCCCTGACCTCAAGCGATCTGCCCACATCAGCCTTCCAAAGTGCTGGGGTTACAGGTGTGAGCCACCATGCCCAGCCAATCTGAGGGAATTCCCGTCCCACATATTAAGAAGTAATTCTCTCTAGCCCCCATCCTACTTATTTAAAACTACGTCTTACAGCATTTACCCACTTCTGCCTTGCATGACAGTTACTGGTGTTCTGGACTTGTTTCCCCTTTTTAATTTATAAGTTCCTTGAAACAGAGACTATCTAGTCTCACTTTTATTTAATCCAACACGCATTTATTGAGTAACTACTATGCTAGATACTGAAATACAAGCATGAGTAAGTACAGATTTCCTCTCTTAAGAAATTAGCAGAGGCAGAGAAGACAAATATATATAGGAAGCAAATGTCTGTTGTGGGCCAGACATGTTAGAAAAGGAGGCTCAAAGAGGGAGCAGGTGCCACCCTAGTGGTTGGGCATGGCAGGGGAAATGGCACCGAGGATGATGAGTGGGTGGCAGCAGCTGGACCACATAGGAACAGGCAAGGGAATTTAGCCTTTGTCTTGCAGTCATAGGAGCCACTGGAAGTTCTCACGCAGATTGCATTGATTTCTTTTTTTTTTAAGACCACTCTGGAATACAAATGGAGGGGACAAGGGCTGTGGCTGGGAAATCAGTTTGGAAGTGACTGCATTAGTCCTGGTGAAAAATAAGGGTCTCAACCAAGGCAGTGTTAGTGGAGATGGAGAGAAATAGGTGGACTTAAGACATATTTAAGAGGTCAACCTGACAAGGTTTAGGGAAAGAGACATTCCCTGGATTGATCCCAGGTACAGACTGCATGGGAAATGGAGGTCAGCCGTATGGGTGAGGGTGGCCTTGCCCAGGAATGGATCCTCGAGGTTCACGTATGGACTTCCGTATCCACAGCCCCCTGAATTGTACATAGACGAATGTGTGTGCTTGAGAGTGTGTTTCCAGAATCACATTTTACCATTTAACAAACACTGCTGTAGTCGCAAAAGGGAAAATCATCAAGAACAGAACTTGAAGGGGAACACCAACACCTAGGAAATTGCACAAGAAGGCTGGCTTGATGTTGAGACTAGTGCCTCATTTGTATAATTTCCTCATTGTTGAATTACAGATACAATTTGGTAGATTTTTCTCTCCGGTTTAACTACTAATATTATCAATCACAGATCAATTGAATCCTGGGTCTTCTTCTTAGATCTTTCCAAGATCTTTCTAATCACTCAAAACCATAGCCTTCCAGTTCCTGGGACTCGAGAGCCTTTTCTGGAGAAAATTCTTTCTGGGAGCCTTCACTCTTTTGCCAGTTGTCCCTCCTCTTGATAGGCTATTAGAGCTTACTAAGGAATGGCCTTAGAGTTTCCCTTTTGAGATTTAAGATCAGCTGAAGGATTTGTTCTCAGGCCTTCCTGCATATTCCATGGTCTGGAGATGGCGGAAGGGCGAGTCAGAAAGAGAAGGATGTTAAGAGTGGGGACAGGCAGTGAGAGGCAAAATGCCAGTCAAGACACATGGCTGCTGTACCAGAACATCTCATACGCCCCGTAAATATACACACCTACTATGTACCTGCAAACATGAAAATAAAACAATTTAAATTTAAACTTAAAAAAAGAATTTATAAAGTCACAATAAGTATGTCAAACTAAATATGAAGGGAAGAAAAAGATAAATGCCTGGATATCTTCTCCCAATCCCACGCTCCCTCTCTCCCCAGACTGCCATTATGTCTGTGGTTTTTCTTCTAGAAAAGACCTCACTTCTACTTTCACTTCTTCAGGTAATTAACTGCATCTACATCTTTAAAGTCCTTTGAGCGGCTTGTGGTTGCCCTTAGCAACAGCTGCGCACACAGGTTTTGCAGGCTGTTTCTGACCTAACCGCAGGATCAAAGTCTTTCAAGGTGGCACAGGATCAGAGCCCAGCCCTCTGTCTGATGTCTGGATATTGTCTGCAACCTCCCTGCTGTTCCATCCATGCTCGGTCTCACCCTTACCCCCACCCACACCATTCATGGACCATTTTCATTGTTAGAAAGTTCTTCATTAGGCCAGGCATGGTGGCTCATGCTTGTAATCCCAGCACTTTGGGATGCTGAGGTGGGTAAATCACAAGGTCGAGAGTTCGAGACCGGCCTGGCAAACATGGTTAAACCGGGTCTCTACTAAAAATACAAAAATTAGCTGGGTGTTGTGGTGGGCGCCTGTAATCCCAGCTACTTGGGAGGCTGAGGCAGGAGAATCATTTGAAACTGGGAGGTGGACGTTGCAGTGAGCCGAGATCCACACCATTGCACTCCAGCCTGGGAGACAGGGCAAGATTCTCTCTCAAAATAAAAGAAAGTTCTTCATTAGCCTGAACCAAACTCCTCTTCCCTAGAACTTACACACCCTGGGGGAACAATTTCTACAAAGGGTCAGTTTGCCATCCCTCAAAACATCTGAAATTATCACTTAGAATTTTTTTCCTTTGTTATTTGCTAGAGGTATTTGTGCAGGATGAGAGGGAGGAGGAATTGAGATTAACTTTCATTTTGAATTTATTTATCTTTGTACTAATTATTGCATGTTGACTATAAACAAACCTAAAAATGCAGATAGGGTGAGAGAAGAAAATGGATTTTCCTATAATCCCACCATCCGGAGAGAATTACTGATAATATTTTGGTCTTTGCCTTCCAGACTTTATTCTGTGATACAGAAATGGGACTATGCTATACACACTGTTTTGAAAACTGTTTTTTAAATTTAACATCTACTGCAAACTTTTCCTGTATGAGTACATATGCTACTTATTTATCTGTATTAATTTATTCTTATACATATAATGTTAGTTTGTATTCTCATTTTTGCAGCTGAATTATATTTCTTCAAATGAATTGAAGCAGGTTTTGCTGGGAGGAAGCCAGGTTTTGATGCGTTTCATTATCATCCCCTTTCTGTGGCAGCTCAGTGCCTTATAGCAGACCTCCATGGGTGACCCTGTCAGGGACACTGGGGGGGTGCCACCCCAGCTGAGTATCAGGTCCATGGTGGTTACCTAGGCTCATCGTGCCTATGACACAGCTGATTTATAATCTGGTGGCAGGCCTGCCTTCCCTCCCCAGTGAGAGCTTCTGCCTCACCTGCTGATTTATTGCATAACTTTCCCCAGAAGGGCCAGTCACATTTCCCAACAGAGGTTGGGAAGGTACTTCTCAAACACCAAGTCCACAGCACTGAGACCACTTGGGTCTCTCTTTGAAATTCTCCAGTTGGTGCAACATTGAACCACTTACTTCTCTGTCTGGTAGTAGAGCATCCCTCGTTGGAAGTAAGCCACTGCCAAGTGCTTGTCTCGGTTAATGCTTCTGGAAAAGGCCTGCGGAGAGAAGGGACCAGCCGTGGCCATGAAGCGGGGCAGTGAGGAAGTGTGAGATGAGCCACAGCTCACAGAGCCCTAGCCCTCTGCGGTGCCTGGCTCTCCTGTCTGCCCTCCTGCGTCTCGAGGCCCACCCTGTGCTCTCACGGTGCACCTCACTTTCCTCTCACATTTAGGAACTCGAGTCGGGGACAACAGTATGCATTCCTTGTACTGTCATTCCAGTTCTGCTGTGGATCTACAAAACATTCCTGGAGCCATACCTATACCATCTGATTTCCTCTTTTCTTAGTCATATATGGCTTAGAAAAGCTACACAAGAATCCAATAACGGCCAGTTGTGGTTGCTCACACCTGTAATCCCAGCACCTTGGGAGGCCAAGGCAGGTGGATCACTTGAGCTCAGGAGTTCAAGACCCACCTGGGCAATATAGTGAGACCCCCATCTCTATGAAAAATTAAAAAATTAGTCAGGTGTGGTGGCGCATGCCTGTGGTCCCAGCCACTTGGGGGACTGAGGTGGTTGGATCGCTCAAGCCCAGGATGTGGAGACTGCCGTGAGCTGTGACAGCAGAACTGCACTCCAGCCTGGGCGACAAAGTGAGGCATCCTGTCTCAAAATAAAAAATCCAACGATACAAATATAGACAAAGTAGACTATGAGGGTGCAGATGTGAATGGATTATCACTAACAGAATTCTTAGATTAAAAGAAAGACTAAAGCAATTTTCCCAAAGGATCTCATCATTTTAAAAATGGACCTGATACTATGAAGCACCTTCTTTGTAATTGTCTCTGAACTTCTTTTCCGAGACTAGAATTCAGAATAGATAGTTTAGACATTTGCCTGATACTAATCAGAAAAATACATATCCATATTTAAAATATAGTTAGTTATATTTAATGACCTCACTTCTGAGTTCCTTTTTCATTAGTGTATCTTTCATTTCTACTACTGCTGTTTTAATAACATAATTAGATAAAAGCTTTGAGCCAGTAGGCACAAAGTTACTAAATCAGTACTTTAAAATCTTTGGTCCTCTATTCATATTCCAATTCATATGAATTTGACTGCTATTTGCTCTAATTTTTTGGGTTCTTCGAGGTTGAGCAGAGTACAATTTTACTGTGAAACGACGCAGCGAGACTGTGCTGTGAAGTGAAGGTGGCGTTTTTGGAGGTGATAAGGATGTAAAACAAAGAGTTCCTGTCCAACACAACAGAGCAGCTTGTCCAGGAGAGTAGTAATTACTATTTATTGCTCTGAGGAAGATAAAAAAGATAGGGAAATAAGAGAAACGTCTTTGAAAAATGAAATGTCATTAGCCAGGCGTCGTGGTGCATGCATGTAACCCCAGCTATTCAGGAGGCTGAGGCAGGAGAATCACTTGAACCCAGGAGGCAGAGGTTGCAGTGAGCTGACATCGCACCACTGCACTCCAGCCTGGGTGACAGAGTGAGACTCTGTCTCTTAAAAAAAAAAAAAAAGAAAAACAAAACATCTTTTACATAAATACCTAATGGAATTATGAAATTCTAACCCTTGTTGCGTTTCTTTTAGTCCTATGAATATATTAAACATTCAGTTTAAATAAGAAATAAAATTTACTGCAAATGAAAATAATGAAGATATTATGTAAATTATTACATTTGTTTACTAGACACACTTATCACATGAATAGTATACAATTAAAATAACAAGTAAGAATGCGTATAAAATACTACTAGGAAGGGTTCAAGCAGGTAAACAAAAGCAGAGGGAATGAGAAGGCTAGAAGCAGAGGAATGCCAGGAGAAGCGGAGCCCTGTGAGCGTGAAGGCCTGGGAGCTGAGAGGCGAGTGGTGGCCCACACAGCCTTGCCAAGGGTCCCACAGGCCAAGGCAGGAAACTACAGTCCCTGCTGGCATAGCTGTGCCAGACTAGCTGCCAATCTCTTCTCCCAGACAATGAGCACTTTGTGTGCATCAGCCCTCAGAATGTGTGGGGCTGTTCACTCAGCCCCGCAGCAGGCCCCCGAGAGGAGGTGGGGCTGCTGTCCTCCCTCCAGCCAGAGGTGGAGGGCCCTGGCACGCTCTGCCCTGGAGCCTGAGATTGACTAGTCAAACTGTGTGACAGCCCTTCAGTCACTCCTCTGTCTTCCTGTCAGAAGGCTGTGGCTGAGGCTTGTCTACCTGCTGTCAGAGTGTGGGAGCAACTGGTTCTTTGAGGGACCTGGGGAATCAGCCATCTGTCCACACATCCACACCTGGCAAAGACTGGCAGTAAAGGGTAAAAATATGAACTAACTTTTAAACAGTGGTGTACAGTTCCACAGGACATTAACAGTTTAGTGTCTCACTTAATTTTCATGATATTTAGAAATGCAGGAAGCTTAAAGCCAGACGCTTACATAGGCTACCTAGCTTGCTTAAGACTGAAAGTCCAGAGCGAGGCAGAGGATCCGCTTGCCAGCCTAGCTAGCATCCTTAATAGAGTCTCCTGCATAACTGATCAGAACTGTCACTTGGGATAAAATCTATTTTTAGTAAGTGCCTCCCTTAAATCTCTTGAGCAGGCAAAGTCGACGCACATGAAAGTCTTTAGCCAAAAGAGGCGCCTTATAATCAATAATCAGGTGTAAAGCCATGCGACAGATAGAGATTCTGTGCCCAGAAGGAGTTCTGTGTAGAAGAAAACATGATTAGGGCAACCTTCACAAAGGCATTAAAGACGCTTGTGGAATGATTTGAATGTAGAAGATGGAGAAAGAGGCAACCCTGGCTGCCCCTCAGAACCACCTGAGAGCTTTTAAAACTGGCCACCTGGGGCCCCTCCCAGACCAGTTAAATCAGGCTCTCTAGGGGTGGAGCTTGGGGAACTTTTGTTCTTTTCAATCCCCCCAGAGGTTAGGTTTCTGAAATGCCACGGGGTTGCAATCATAATAACAAATGCACACAGGAGGCCCGGAAAGAGGCACCTCCACTCACCTTCTCGGCTTCAGTCATGTTTTTCAGGATAGTGTGCATGCAGCCGATGTTGAAGCAAATCCGGGAGTGGGGGTCCTGGACTGCACTGAAGGCGTCCAGGGCTCCCTTCCAGTCCTTCTTGTCAGCTGCCAGCACCCCTTCATTCCAGAGGCTGATGGCCTCCGCCAGGGACATGATCAGGTAGGAACCAGGAGGCCAAGAGAGCTGCCAGGAGACAGGGAGAGGACAGGTTGGGGCGTCTCCCCCAACAGGGCTGCCCTAGTGGCCCCCAAGGTGTTTACTTTCTGGGTCAGATGTGTAGAATGGGGCTCAGCCTCCCTTAAGATAACTTCTCAGTGTTGCAAATGTATCAGGAAATGTCCCCACCATTTGACAACTGACTCATAACCCTACCATGAGAGAGAAAAGGAAAGAAGCAGAGAGAGAGAGGGCAAGTGGGGGCGGAGTGTGGAGGAGAGAGGAAGTACATCAGATGCTGCCTGAAGGATCAGTTCCCCAAAATGCTTCTGCTCTGTCACCCAGCTCCTCCTCTCTCTCCCACCCCTGTTTTGTGGCAGCTTCTGGCCAAAGCTCTGCTTCTAGAGCCAGGCCAATCTTAGCCGATTAAGGCACCTTCCTGGTGACAGTGACAGGAGGCAGCCAAATGCCTAGGCATATAGGGGCGGGTCCCTGGTGAAACCCCACCTTCAAGCCCAAAACAGCCTAAAGGCTGAAAGACTAGACTGCTGGTCCCAGATGAAACCCATGACCTGGAGTGAGAACTTCTGTTCCTGTTTGTCTGCCCTTTCCCAATTGATTCTTTCTGAATAATGCCTTTTAACCAATTGAATGTTGCCCTTTTCAGTACTACCTATGACCTGCCCCTCCCCTATTCTGAGCCCATAAAAGTCCCAGACTCAGCCACACTGGGGGGACTTTCCTGCCTTTGGGTAGGGGAACCTCCTCTGCATCCCCTTTCCACTGAAAGCTGTTTCATCACTCAATAAAACTCCCCACCTAGCCGAGTGGGCAGGCCATCCCCTGCAGTAGGGAGTGTGGCCCATTGAGGCCTGGGCAGGGTGTCACCAGCCAGAGGTCCCCGGCTTACAAAGCAACTGAAAAATAATCCTGTGTCACTGGGCCTTGATTTCCACACCCTTGCTAAATGGGAGTGGTGGACAAGAGGATAATTCTTTCTAGTCTTAAATGAATTCCTTGCTCACTTTTTCATAATCCCATAGACTGTGTTAATATGTTAGTTTTTATCTTGAGCTGAAATTGTCATTAACAAATTTTCGAGACAAGATAGTCTTTGGATGCCCATCTGGGCCTGAATAACTTCTTTTTTTTTTTTTTTTGAGACAGAGTTTCACTTTTCTTGCCCAGGCAGGAATGCAGTGGCACAATCTCAGCTCACTGCAACCTCCATCTCCTGGGTTCAAGCAATTCTCCTGCCTTAGCCTCCTAAGTAGCTGGGATTACAGGTGCCTGCCACCATGCCCAGCTAATTTTTATAGTTTTAGTAGAGACAGGATTTTACCAAGTTGGCCAGGCTGGTCTCGAACTCCGTACCTCAGAAGATTCACCACCTGCCTTGGCCTCCCAAAGTGTTGGGATTATAGGTGTGAGCCACTGCACCTGGCCAAAATAACTTTTATGAACACCCAGGAAGTTCAGAGGAAACCAATTTCCTGCAAATGTCAAAATTGGGAGCCAGAAATGACTGTGAATTATGACTTCTCCCATCCTCTGGTGAAAAATTGAAGAGATGAAGGTCCTGCATTGATCACTAATGAATTTACTAGTCTCTGAAAAAACAGGTTTAAGAGTTCTTTCCTTGTTTTCCTGGAAAACTAAAAATCAGTAAAACCTCCCAGAGGAGTAGCTGTGGGTAAAGGGTATAGCCAATTTAGCTTACTAAGATCCTGGCTTCTTTTCAGGTAAAATGCATGTTTATAGGGGTCAAATACTTAGATGCAAACTCTTGTAGCAACTGAAAGAACTCACTCATTATCACCAAGCTTCCCCTAAAAGCCTGAAAATAAAACTTAAAAATGTATACATCACAATACTTGTAGGATTTAAGGTGTGAGAATTAAGAAGACGTGTGTCTTGGCACAGACTGTTTTCCTGTGTTTATAAGGCCTTCCCAGCTCATGTCTTTGCCTGGCAAACTCCTACTCATCCTTCAAAGCCCAGTCTAAATGTCACCAACTCTGCTAAATCTAGCCCCCAACTCCAGATAATAGGAGAATTTTTTTCTTCTTTGTACCACCTCTACCGAAACACTTGCATCATACTTATTGCAATTTACCTCTTCATGGTAAATTGGGACCTCACCTTTTCATTCTAAGATTTCTAGCACTGATACTCAACACATGATGAAGGGATGCATTCTAAAAGAAATTAGAAATCATTGGTAAGTGACCTGCAGGTAGCAGTGATGCCAGAAAGAGGTATTGCTATTCCATCTAGTGAATAAATAATCAGGACTTGAATAGCACATACATTATTCCTGAGAAAACCAAGTGGGTTTGTAGCTAAGTTAGACTTTTTTTTTTTTTAATGTTTTTGCTTTCTTATTATCCTACCCTGACACACAGAAATCTCCTTAATCTGACCACCAAGACTTTTCTAGCCTTATCCCCAGAACTTTCCTTCACAGTCCCATACAAACTCTGCTATTTACTCCATTTCCTGCATCTGTGCTAATTAGACTCGTCGTGCTAGTTCCTCTTTCTAGGCTGCCCTCTCCCATGTCTGCACCTTTAAACCCACCTTGCACAACCTTGGAAAGCCTGCTAAAATACCACCTTCCTTAACACACTGCCCTGAAATCTGTCCTGCCTGAAAGCTCTCAAACCCATGATCTTCCCTTTTGAACTCCTGCATCTCCTTCTCTGCACCTCCCACGTGGCCCTGAATCACTCTTCACCAATGTATGCGCATGCAAGTCTTAGCCCCTCAAATAGTCGATGTGCCTTGGGAGGAAGTCCTGGGCTAACCCATGTTTGTATCCCCAGGGCACTAGCAAAGCCAGTCATGCTTGTCTCCATCCAGTTCCCATCCCTGTCTTCTGTCACCACCCAGGCCAAGCCACCATCAGCTCCCGGGTGAACATTATAGTCTCCTAACATTTCTTTGCTTCTCCATCCAGATTGAGCTTTTGAAAACACAAGTCAGATCACTTCATGCCCCCATCTTTAACTCTTCGGTGCCTTGCACTGCTGTCAGAATATAACCCAAGCTCCTTTCCATGATGCAGGAAGCCCCCTGCCTGCTGCCCTGGGGTGATTCCCTGTCATTTCCCCTCCTTCCCTCCCAGGAACTCCAGCTACACAGGCCTCCTTTCATGGTCTCAGATGACCCAGCCTCTTCCCTCTGCCTGTAAAACTCTTCCCCAAAGCCTACGTGGCCAGTTCCTACTCATTTTTCACTTCCTCAGAGTGGCCTTTCTGGATCCACAACCTTGCTATGTGCATGGATCTCTCTGATCATGTATTTGCCACAGTTTGTAATTGTACGTCATCTGTGACATTGTTTTTATCCCTCAATGTAGGGGCAGTCTATTTAATCATTACTCGATGCCATTAGTAGATGGTCTGTTCAGCCACTGTTCATTCGCCTTCCTCCTTTTAGTAGAAGCCCAGTTCTGTTCAAGCCTCCAGTTTCCTGAAGCCATGAGAAGAAACAGTACTTGTTTCTCTACTAGACAGCATTGTGAGATGTGTCTGGAACATGACATGGCAGCTGTCTCATGACCGTGAGGAGAGACAACTAAGAACAAGCTGCTGTCTGAAGGAAAAGAGAATGAAAAAATAAAAAGCTCAGACTCTTAATTATGTTGGTGAGCTGTGTTGCATCGTCTGTTTTCAAATCTGGCTTGGCACAGTGGCTTACATCTGTGATCACAACACTTTGGGAAGCTGAGGTAAGAAGATCCCTTGAGGTCAGGAGTTTGAGATCAGCCTGGGCAACAAAGCCAGACCCCATCTCTACAGAAAAAACTAAAAATTAGCCAAATATGGTGGCACATGCCTGTAGCCCCAGCTACTAAGGAGGCTGAGGTGGGAGGATTGTTTGAGCTCAGGAGTTCAAAGGCTTCAGTGAGCGACGATCATGCCACTGCATTTCAGCCTGGGTGACAGCAAGACTCCAACTCTAAAAAGAAAAAATAACATTTTCTACAAATTTGAAGCTGATCTACGTTGGAATTTCTTGTTTGGTTAGATAATAAGTTTGTTTATTGTTTAAGTCATTCGAACCTAATTTTCTATTAGTTATTGTTTAAAACGTTCTCACACACACACCACTGGATTCTCGGTACCTAGTACAGGGCTTGGCATATAGCAGGTGTTCAATAAACATTACTCATTAAATAAAACTTGTTAAGGCATTGGTTGGGTAACTCAGTTTCATCTCCATGTTTTCAAAATTATTCCAAAATCCTGAATAAGCAGGATTTGCATATGATTGGTTAACAGATTACAAACTACTATTGTATGTATTTATTCAGCTGGAAGCTAAGAACATTCCCAAGACCCTCCTTTTTTTTTTTCGGAGGAAGAAGCCTGTACAATCAAAATAAAATTCATTATTCCTGGGCACTCAGGAAATACCTCCTCTTTCCTACTTTTAGAGTTTAGTGTTCCATCACTCTTTAAGTTTTTCTGGTACGTGAGGCCTCTTTCTTAGACTCCTCAAAGGATAGAACCATCCTGCCAGTGTCCTTCAGTCTTTCACCATGTTTAGCATAGCCCCGGCGAGGTAGTAGGTGCTCTGTAATCATTGGCTAACTAACTAAATGAACTGAAAAATGAGAAAATTGAATCCTACTTGGAAAAATATAATTTTGTAAAGTTTGTCAGTATCATGTTAGTTGCATAAAGTGAGGTACATTTAGACTAGTAGGGAAAAGAATGCACTTTTTTGCCCTCAAATCTAACATTGAATGGATAGTTTTATTGAGTACAAGACAGGAAAGCTTCAGGAGGTAGGCAGGAGACCTCATTTATTAGATATAAACCTGGCCTGGATTTCACATGGAGGATACAGAAAAGCCAGCAGGGGTCCTGTTCAGCAATGCTGTTGAAAGCCCCAGTGCTCAAGTCTTCTTTCTCCAGGAAGGCAAGTTAGTCCTGTCTAATCTATCATTGGATTGGTTTTCATCCAAATCCTGTCCATCTGTAAAAGGTCAGCTTAGACTCACCTCCTACATGAAGACT